TATGCTAATAAGGCAGTCTCAGAACTAGCTGAATATTTTGCTCACATGTCCTCAGAAGCATTTTGTGCCGTTAAGTCCACTTCATGTCCTTTTCTGACTCCTGTGTCAAAGGTTTGAGTGGTCATGTCTTTCAGAGATTCTAGGGCTAAGACTAGGTCTCTCAGAATTCTTGAGGCCTGCTGATTCCACTCTGCCATGTGTTATTATCATCTGTCATGAACTGGATAAAAGTCCATCTGTTTATTCATCCTTTTTGTTGTCTCGTCTTCAGACCACTCTGAGTTTCTTCTTTTGATCAATCTCTCACAATTTCATTTCTTTCTGTTGAGGTCTGTGAAATATCATTTTCGTGTTAAACCTCTCTGTGTTAAACTGTTCATAGGATGTTTCCAGCATCGTTAGGGGAACTGAAGCCTATCTCGCCCTGGTAATTTTACATTCCCTATCCTCCCTCCCCTGCGATAAAGACGTTACTGACACCTCTGAGGTTACCAGTACCGTTTCCTGCACAGCGGTGGGTGCGTCAGCAGGTAGATTCGGGATCTTCATGCTCTTCCATTCATGTGGCTGTCCGTCCCAGTGAACCTTTACAAGGGTGACCATTCAGCCTGGTTTGCTCCTGTTGTCGCTGCGTAATTAGTAATACCCTTTTAACACAACTTTTCTGGTTTAGGTGATAGATTACACATGGTTACCCTGTCATTCTTTTTCTATCTTTTGTGCAGAATCTCTTTTCCTCTGAAGTTCATTCTGATGCTACAACTTTCTGTTCCCCTCATTATCACCAGCTAATGGCCCTGTGGTCTCAGCCTTTGAGTCATTGTCTTCTCTCCTCTCCGCCATTATTCTGAGGTGACCTCAGAGTCCACGTGGATGGCCCATTCAATTCTCCCCAGGCTCCTGGTTCCCTGACTTACCTCCATCTCTAATTCTTATGTTGCTGCTTCCATTTTTATTCCTACTGCATCTGCTTTTAGACGTTACTGACATCTCATCTCTCTTCTGTTTTTACTTCCTTCCCCATGGCGCCTGAATCGCACTTTGCCAGCACCCTCCATGTTGCCCCTTATTCTTCCATTTGCTGCCGACAGACTCATAACCCTGACGCAATCCTGCTAGCTCTCTGCCCTAGCCCAGGCTGCTAGGTTGGAGAAAGAAGCCCACCACTATGCAGATGGGTGCCATGGCCATCTCAGTCGGGCCTTCAGATCTACTGCAAGTGCAGCGTGGTGTCCTGCATTAGACCCTAGAACAGAACAAGGACATTGTTGGAAGAATGGGGAAATCTGAGTGAACTCGAGTTCAGTTAATAATGCTGTACATTTGTTGGTTTCTTAGTTTTGACAAATGTACAAGTTATGCGTTTATATTAGAGGAAACTGAGGGAACTCTAATATCTTTGTAACATTTCTGTAAGTCTATAATGATTTCTAAATAAAGTTTGTCTTTTCAAACCTTACCCTATCGTCTCCTCTGTCATTTGCCTACTTATCTGAGAAAATCAAGGCCATCAAATATGAATTCCCCTCAAGCTCCTATCCTCCCTCCCCTGCGATAAAAAAACCCCACAAAAATAAGTTTGGAGGCATCCTACGTCATTGGATCTAGTTTCCCCTGGTCACAAGTGGATAGGAGTTAAATCTTTTTCTTCCCCCCATTTATTCTGTGAAACCCCATCTGTTATGTCTTCTCAGAGACTTCACTTCCGTCATAGTTTTGCTAATTGTTTCTTCACCTTTTAATTCTACTAGGACTTTTCTTGCCCAAATCTTTTCATAGCCCTCCATCGCCCTTGGGATATAAAATACAAAGACTTCTGTGATATGGCTACTGCCTTATCAATCTTCGCTTTGGTTTTTAGGCTTATTGTACAAATGGGTAATCTCTTAAAAGAACCTAGCTCTTTCTCCTTTCTGTTTTTGATACAGTGAAATTGGAGAAAGCTAGAGTCAGTGAATATGAGTTGAGGTGAAAGGTTAGGGCTAGAGATATCTACACGGTCTTGCTGTTCCTTCCTGTATCCTCCTGCATAGTGTTTGCTGAGGCTTTGTTCTTGTTCCTTGAGCTTGTCCTCGATTTCTGCTTTGGGGTGGTTTCAGTCAATTTTTGGTTGCAATTCTGTAGCTTTACTTCAAAATCTGTTTTCCCATCCCGACTTTACACTGGAATTCAAGGTCTATATTGTGGTCTTTTGGATGTCTTTTCAGGCACCTCGCATTTTGTCTAAAACCGTACGTGTCCTTCCTCCCCAGATTGTTTCTTTTCTATTTTCTCTTCCCTTTCGATCTTTATGTACAGATTCAAAAGGCACCCTACTCCCAGTATTGAATCCTGTAGATTTAATTTCTTCATTCTCTGTGTAGAGTTCCTTTCCAGATGGAGCAGTGCTTTTTCCACTTTGGGAAATATTTTATGGGATATGTTATTTGACTGGGACCTTGGTTTTGTACAGGCCATTGTGAGGGAAAGAAGGTGGACGTTCTGAGGGGAAGGGAATGGCATGAACAGAACCACAGAAGAAGGGGATGCAGAGGAGAGTAGAAAGTTGTCATTTGGTTTTGCGTTTGCAGGTGAAGCAGTGATAATTGAGGAAGTGTGGGTTATCAGATTGATGGGAACCTGAAAGGCTATGAGTTTTGACGATATACAGGTCTAATCGCCCGTTTTAAAGAGGGGTAGGTGTGACCAGAGCGGTGCTTTAGGAAGATTGATCTTTTTGGAGGTGAGTAGTTAGAGGCTGAGTCAGGGAAGCCAATTAGAGATTTTATTCTGATAATCCAGACATGAGCTAACAAAGTCTTGACTAATGAAGAGAATGTCGGAGAAATCATGAAGGAGTGAGTAATTGACCGTATTTGAGACAAAATGATTGCACGTGAGGGATGGAGAAGAGGAAGGAGTTGTAGTAACTCTGGGCTTTTGAGTCTGGCTGATCAGTGAACTGTGAAAACCGTGGTACCTTGCTCAGTTGTTGAGGAGATAGAGATACTGCAGGCAGCTTCCCATGCCACACAGGTCACAGAGAAACGAATCAAATCTTTAATTCACAGCAGGTGTGGGGTCCCTCCCCGGGGATGGGGGCAGTTTAGGAATTCGTGAGACAATTTTTCATTGCTATTGTTATAACGTCAGCCCCACTCCCTGCATGCTTGCTGCTATGCCCCCATGATTTAGTAAGCAGAGTTCTACCCAGAGTGTTAGTAGAGAACACCAGTGTAGATGAAAAGGTTCAAGATGAAACCTGAACAGAGTTTATAGTTAAATAAAACATGAGTGTGCTGAGGGAAGTTAGAAAAGCTGAGAAACTTCTGGGGAGTGGTTACTAAGTAGGAAGGAAACACAGTATAGTGCTGGTCATGGAGGATAAAGGAGGAAATAGTTTCAGTAAAAGGCAGTCTGGAGGCGGAGGAGCATGGTAGCAGCGTGGCATCCGGAGTCTGGTTCAGATTCTGGCTCTAAAAATTCAAAGCTGTTTTCTAATGGTCACAAGTCTCCTAGGGGTTTGAGTTGACAGCATTTCGCTTGGTGGGCTTCAAATGGTTGTGAAGCTTATGCACATTTTAATACCTCATCACATCCGTGGAGAGGACAATTGAGAAATAAGGCCCAGCTTCCATTCTGATTGATTTATAATTCAGAGGCATCATGTAAGACAATCTCTCTAGTACATATAAATACATTAGAACTGGGCTCCCTTAAATTGATTTGGAAGGAGCAATCTGGAGGGGAGAATTCAAACTTAGCGATTACAGTACTTCAAGCCTTTAAATTAGATTTTATCAACAGTCATAAGTTACATTTCCTGCTTTAATTTATAAAGAATGAGCCGAACACCATTCCGAGTAATGTAGGTCTCTTTAGTTGATAATTACATTGCTTGGTTTATTATTATTAGGTTCTTAAGAGTTCTCCAGAAACCTCTACATTAAGAAGTAACCTTCTTATGAAAGCCATGTTGTACCTGTTAGTTAGGTTCCCAGATCAAGGTGTTAAAGAAACTTCTGAGCCTTTACAGTTTGTGTAGCACGGTGGTTCAGCACTGCCTGCAGCTTCGTAGGTGGCATGGTATAGAGGACTGGAGCAAGATTTCCTTTTTTTCTTTGATGTGGTGAGGCCATTTAAGTCTACACTATTAGCTGTACACTAGATTTCCAGAACTTGTTAACCTCATAACTGAATGTTCGTACCACTTGACCAGTATGGCCCCATTCCCCCGACTCCGGTCCCTGGTAGCCACCACCCTACTCACCGAGTCTGGCTGCTTAGATCTCACGCGTAATTTGTCTTAGCCCGTCTGACTGAATTTACTGTAAGCTCTGATATCTTAAAATTGCTTTTGGAAGGTTACTCATGAAATTCATTAGCTTATTTTAACTTGATGGTTCAAGGTAACTTTTTAAATAATCAGTAGAGTGTTAAGTGCTGAGCAGAAAGTGGGGAGAGTTGTGGCAGAAACTGTGGGATAGGTAAGGGGTGGGGTCCTGATTTTCAGAATCTTTGATCTACCTCATGGTGATAGGAGAACCATTACAAGGGAGTAATATAAATTAAAATGGAAATCTATTACCCTTAATTCATTTCCCACTGCTCTAAGTCTAAAGAAGAAAATTCTTAATTTGAGTCCCCGTGCCCTGCACAGTCTGTTCCCACATGTCTCACCAGCTTCATCTTATACCATGCCTCCTTTCCCCAGATGAACATAAAAAATGGTGAATTGGAGTGTAAGGGTGGGTTTATTCACTTCACTTTGTCTGCTATATTGTCATCGACAGATTTAAATATCTCATTCTGGTGACTCTGCTTGAGAGGAGCATAAGCAAAACACACTCCTTAGCTGTACTTTCTGGGTGGAATGCTGCATTTAATCTTGACTGTCTGGAGATATTTTTCTCTTTAACAGGTTTCTCCACATATAAAAGTGTCTTGTAAACGTACGGAAAAGAATGGCAGCAGAGACGCAGACTCTGAACTTTGGGCCCGAGTGGTAAGTTTTCACAATCTGATCTTGTTGATACAGGATGACTAGTATACCAGTAAGGTATTTGTACAGGTGTTGGGTGGTTTATAAATGTACATGTTTTGAGACTGCTTTATGTGTCTGGTTGAAAACAATTAGTCTAGGAATAAATTATATTTGGGCAATAACTACATCCTGTACTTGATTTTAAAAAATTTCTTGGTCTGGTTACGTAATGGTAATGGAATTAAAACTGCCCGAGTCCCACTACCCTGTCAGGTTATTTCCTTTCTGCTTGAGCTGTCGTCTAGGCACACATGCAGTTTTATGTAATTAGAACATTTTTATGTGTATATGTTTTTTTGCTACAGTGTTGTTTTGTGAATGCTGTTCACAAAACTCATTTGAAAAATAGTTTTTATCATTATTTGAATTTTATTTTATTGATGAGCGGCTAGGCAGGTGGTCCAGAATTATATTGGCTGTTAACAGTAGCCCATCTAGGACTGGGTTAGCGTTTGCCATAATAACAGTTGACCTTTGAGTCTCTTACAGATGTGTTTGGACCCCGAATATGGAATTCTCATGGAATTTTGAGATCCATCACATTGTAGTATGACTTTTACCTCCCTCTTCTTTTCCCCCCAAAGTTGGTGATTGAAGATCCTCTCGTCAGTGGTGCGAATAACAATAGTTGCTTTTTCCATTCAAATTTTGAACTGGAGGCAGTATATAAAGTAGATAAATTGGAATAGTGTCTTAAACATTCTTGGTTGTTCAGGTGATGGTGGTTTGATAGATGATGCAGACTTTGTGTAGTAACCCCCCATGTAAGGGCTCTAATTAGCCTACCTTATTACATGCGCATCTTTCTGTATGTAATTCCTAAATGTTCTTGGCCCTTATAGGTAAGCTAGCATTTGGAGACTGAGGAGAAATCACTATTTGAAGTTCTAAGAATTGATGCAACTTTTGTACTTTGAGAATTTATTTTGGAAATGTTGACAAAAGTAATGCTGCACCTGTTTTAGTTTTTTAAATAATAATTTATATTTATATTGAAATTTTTTCCTTATTACCAAGTCAGATAGTAGGTTTCCTCCACTATCTGAAAGTAGAGTGTTCCTGTGAAACCTTTTGTAAGCCGAAATGGCATAAAGCAAAGAAGCAGTTACCTTAGGACACATCTCGCTAAGGGATGCACTGAGTAAACCGGATAAAGCACAGATGCTCACAGACGCAGTCGAAGCTCTGGTGGCCTGATGCTGAGATGCTGAGTGTAGTTCCCAGGGACGGAGCTTGGCAGGGCTGTTCTCACTGCTCTGGCTGCTGAACACTGAACGCCGTTTTATCTATTTGCCTTTTCTCATAGAAGTGAAAATCCTCTTTGGATTTCTTTTGGTTAGTGAAAGCAGGTACTAATTTAGGTTTTTCATAAAAGTGAAGTGGTGTAAAGCAAACTTTTGAAAAGCAGGGGATACCTATACATGTTTCTAGAAAAATTAGAAATTACAAGTAAGCCAAAATAAGGTATAATCACCGTAATTTCACCATTTGTGATAACCACTGTAAATAGGTTGGTGTATCTTTCCAGCTGTTTTTATATATGCTTATTTGTGTATATGTACATTTATTTTCACAAAAATGGGATCATACTGTATATTCCATTTTGTAACCAGCTTTTAAAAAATAACCACATCAAAAATATCTTTGTCAATAAATATTTTCTATTTTAAATGATTGCATTGTATGGATGTATCATCATTTATTTAACTAGTCTTCTAATGTATGTAGCATATATAGGCTGTTCTCAGTTTTTCATTATTATGAAAACATTTTTGATGAACATTCTTGTAGCTAACTATTCACATCTTATTAACTTCCTTTACTAGGTGGATTTAAATTCACATAGCTTACTTGGTAAACCATTTTGTATGCTACTCTTCTGCCTTTATCTAGAATTCGTAACTGCTTTTTTTTGTACTTAGATTCATTCCCATGTCTCTTTGTAACAACATGTAATTTAAAGAAGTTTTTTCCCTGTAGTATTCCTCTATTAAAGAGGTAACAAAAAGAACGACACCAGGAATTAGCCAAAACAAAAGAAAAAAAGAAACTGGTGATGTTCTAGAGTCAGTGTACATTTAGCTTGATGTCCTACACCATGGATTGGCCCGTGAGACTGTAAATAAAGTTTTTGTGAGTAAAGTTTTATTAGAACACAGCTAGACCCATTTGTTTCCATATTACCTGGCTACTTTCACATTGCAGTGGCAAGGTTCAGTAGTTAAAATAGAGGCCATCTGGCTCTAAAAGCTCAAATATTTATTCTCTGGTCCTTTACAGAAAAATTTGCTGGCTCTTACCCCCAAACCATGGATTCCCAAAGGCATTTCAGTGTGTCATTGAGTCAGTCTATCAGTAGCGTCTTACACATCCTTTTCATTGGTATTTTAAAGTTTCGTTTGATGGTGTTTTGCTTGATGAGCCCATTTTTTTTTCTTTTTTCTTTTTTCTTTTCCTTTTTTTTTTTTTTTTACAAAATTTGAGTTGAAGTAACTTCAGCGGAGGACAGTTAATAGTTCCATGCTTAAGTAGTAACTTTACCTAATTGTTGCCTCGGTTACCCGGCTGCCATTAGAACTTAGAGCCTCCCCTTAGTCATCTGAAGTGCCGATAACTGAGGAATGGAGGTTTAAGTAGGAACACTGCCTTCTTTGTACCATCTGTCAAAGTTCCTTTTGGCAAAGGAGATATATAAGACCCTTAAGTAACTCAGGAAACCCTGAGCTAGAAAGCTGCGGTGCTTTTCTGCATGTTCCAGTGCATTCATTGTGAAGCTTGAGGTAAGGAGCTGTGTCCAGAATCCTTGGGACTCAAAGCTTAGAGTGATTACATTGAGTTGGTGTGTGACTCTGAACCATATAGAAACATGTAGTGATACTGTATTCTCTTTACTAAGATCACTTTTATAGTGATGTAAAACAATGTTCAATAAGAGATGGATAAAACGAAGAAATTTATTTGTACCTGGGGTAGTAGTAAAGATGGGAGGGCGTTGGAAATTGTCATAGGGACAGACCATGAATGACCATGAGCATGGACTTTTTAATTTTTTGAGGTCTGTGGAATCATAGGTCTTAGCTTATTATTATATTTAGAATAAAGAAATGTATTACATAATCACAGCAATTTAGAGGGTGCGATAGGTTTAATGGAGAAGTAAATCATTTCTAGGTATAAAACAATAGTCATCTTAAGTCTTAACTATTACCACCTTAGACCTTTCCTGATCATCTATGTAGTACCTTCTCCTTACTCCCTATCTTCCTTCCCTGTTTTAATTTTTCCTCCATGGTCTATATCAAAATATAACATACCAAATATTTTACTCACTTATTTTCTTTATTATTTATATCCCATCTTCCAGCCCCTACTAGACTGCGCTCCATTGAGGGCAGGTACTTTGGTCTTGATTTTTGTATAGTTTGTTTACTGCTATATTCCCAGTGCCTAGCACATAGTAGGTAATAAATAAATATCCGTTAAACGAATGACTGAATTGTTGGGAATAGGTTATTCTTAATGTTTTGCTTTTACAATTATGTATACACATCTTTTAACAGTTTTATTTGTATTGCTGATTATTTACTTTGGATTAATTTCCTGGAAGTGGAATTATTAAAGTTTTAATTTTTAAGGCTTTGTATGATATATGGATGAATTGACCAGCAGGAGGATTGTATGAATTTAATTCCCATCCCTTGCCTGTTTACTTCACCCTTGACAAAACACTAAGTACTACTTTAAGAAAATTTTTTAGTTCTCCATCTGGTAGGTTATAGTTTTTTTGGAACTTTTTACATTTAGTCGCAGTAATAAAATAATTCATGCCCATCCCTGAAAACCTTGGAGGAAATAATAGTACAAAAGGAAAAAGAAAATACCGGAGTTACCTTTAATCCTACGCCCCAAAGAACCGTTGCTAATGTTTTGGTTTGTTTCCTCCTATTCCTTTTTCTTTGCAAATGTTCGTATGCATACTTCAAGACATTAAAACAAATTCATTATACTTGTTTCTTTCTTTCTTTCTTTTTTTTTTTGTGGATCAAAAATCTACTCAGGTTGTTTAGACCATTAAGAAATTTATTGTAGGGGAAATAATTGCAGAGTTACCTGGTTTTATAGGGAAGGAACCAAGGGACCGTTTGGGGGGTTTCTTCTTTCTCCTCGCCGAGGCCTTAAGGAAGTTTTCCCAGGTCTTTCCTTGCAAAAAAGAGCAAGGCACTGCTGTTTCCTCCAAAGCACTTTGTTTTTACCTGTTTTAAAGTAGTTGTGACTTTGTGGTATGCCTCTGCATAACTCTTTACCCTTCTCAGAAAAGAACTAATTTTGTTAAAGGCACTGGGTGTCTCGATTTCAGCCCATTGTTTAGCTGCGTTCTGAACACGGGCACTTCGTTAATGTTTGTTAAGTGATGACATTTAAGTCTTGGTGTTGGTAGGAAAGGGGGGAATGAGTGCAAACCCGAGACAACCAGCTTGCTGTCTGTAGTCTCTGTGCAACTGTAGAGACAGCGAGAGAAGTTCTGGAGGATGGAATGCGTTAATAGTCCCAGTTTTCAAAAAGAGTAAAAGATAGCTATATGATCTGAAGGAATAGCAAATTAGATGTTATTCAAGGGTATATTTTAGAAGAGAATATTAAGATTTGTTTAGAAAACATTTTATCAAGTGCCTCCTGTGTTCTGTTTCTTGGATTAGGCGCTGAGGTGGCCACAAGGATTAAAGGACATGGTACCTACTTTTATTTAGTGGGGAAGCTGACATGAAATAACTTCACTATAACGTCAGTGCTGTAAAGGAAGTTTGGTGCAAGTACAGCGTATTCAGCTTCTTACTTGATGCCTGTAGGCATCTCGTTCTGAATGCTTTTCCAGAACTGAGCTCATGAATTTTGCCCTTTTAAATCTCTTTTTATTTCGTCTTAATACCGCAGCATGCCCATTTGCTCAGGCCGGGAGTCTT